TGTAAGTATATATAATCATAATAAGTTAATTTACTGTTGAATATTAAAAAAAATGTTTTCACATCGCTTAGATTTTTCGCGAATTTGGCCTTCGTGAGAAAGGCTAATTGTACTGATGGCGATTATGTATACTATCGAGTTTGTAGATGCACGCGTGATGTTTTCACAAAACAGAAACATCAGTCTGTTGCATTGAAATGAATACAAGTGGAATGCTACCTCCGACCAGAAATTTGAAGTCAACTTGAAGGCCAGTCCCAGTCCATGCGAAGAGTGCTCAATCAGTCAATGATGATATAAACACGCATAATCTTACACCTCCAGACACGCGTGTCTGGAGGTAAAATCTGCCGTCAAGAAAAAGATAGGGAATTTATCCGAAGGTACCGTTCCAGTTATATCCATTCCAATGGTCTGTAGCGTACGCGATGTTTCCACAAAACGGAAACATCAGTTTGTAGATGCAATATGTTGTAAATAATATGTTTCAACGTTTTAATCAGGGTATTGCTGCTATTATAAAACCACCAGTTGAGGATGTTGTCCAATTCTTAAAAGAACACATACAACATGATATAAGATGTATAGCACGAAGTACTGGTAACAATTATGACGAGGCGGTGCAAATAATCCATTTAGTGCTTGCTGGTATTGTAAACAACTTGGGTCAACAGGGAGGTACGTTTAGTCACATAGGTTTGTAACTATAATTGCGCTGGTTTGTGACTAATATTATATTTCACTTGTTCTGTTCTTTCAATTTTAAGTAAACACAAATGTTTTAAGTTTTGTATTACATCTCGAACACGCTCATAGGTGATTTGGAATTTGGACTCAATCATGTCTCCCGAAAGTCAAAAATCACAACCGTAAAACTTCGATCTGTAAGCCTGAAAATTGCAAAGGACGTGCTTATGCTTTATTAATGCTTCTGTCTCTTCGTAGAATTGTGCAAAACATAACTTATGCATGCATATTTGCCTTCTTTCATATGTGAACGTCCATCGTGCTTTTGCGCATCGTGCTTTGAGTTTTGACTTCGACAATTGACAACCTTAAATAAAAAATACTAGCTTCAATTATTAGCTTCGATTAAATTCTTAAATTTTAATTAGGTATTTGAGAATAATCATGATTTCTTAATTAAGTCACTATTATAGGAAAAATTTACTATGATGTGATGATTGTATGCGAGAAATGTCATGTGTCACATTGTCATATGCATGCATGTTCTCTAAATATACTTAAAAGATGTTAACTAAGAACTTTGTTGTAGGTTACCAAAATATTGATGGCAACCTGACCACCAAAGATTCAAGAATAGTCTGGGAAGAAGCATTTATGACCACTTATTTGAATCCTGTTCTTTCCGTAAGTTTTTCCATCACAAGATCAGATATGCATGATGGCGTTTTTCGTAATTCGCCTGCAATAAATCTGCTTGTTAATTCCTTGTTTAAAATGTTTATACTACTGTATCGAAATCTTTGCAAATCTCCTAATCATATAAGAATTTCAAAGTATTACAGTGCGTCTACAATAAGTTAATTGGACCACTTAGAGAACACTAACCAATCAGATTCCAAAACAAAAATAGAAATCTAATCAAACTAAAGCTCGACCAATCAAATTAGGAGTTCGCTTCAGGAAGCCAGTAACTGCAGTGTTTACTTTTCAAATCTCTTTTACCGTTTGACATTCGTTTATTTGTTAAAATTGTTTTCGACCTAATGCCGATTGGCTAATGTCCCGACCGGTTAGTGTTCTCTATAAGTGGTCCCACTTGCTGTAGACGCACTATAAGAGGTCAACAATTTAGATTGTACTAGGACACTGGAAGACTGCTTTTACTTAAGGGAAACTAAGTCCTAAATTTGTACAGAGAAAGTTTCGTATGTATATTAGCGTGCTTTGTGAGACATTTGGGAAAAGGAAAAGTAATACACCCTTCTGGAAAGGAGTAACTCAAACCTTAGCTTTAGGGATATTTATGTTGGTGGGTTTGGTAGATGACAATTTGAGTGATAATTATGTGAATTTTCCATGCAGGAGCAGCTGTGAAAAATGCTGCTATAAGCCCTCTGGCAGGAATCGAACCCGCGTCTCTGCGAGTCGGATGCAGCGCTCCAACCAATTAAACTACAGACTCGAGCAGCCGAGCATTAACCATATGTTTATCCAAAAATGTATAATTATACTCCAAATTTACACTAGAAATTTCTATCTACAAAAAAACCTTCAACGTTTAGTTTTATCGGGCGAGAGGCCAAAATCCTGATATTTAGAAAATTTATCCTGTTACTAAAGGCATATCTAGGAAATTATGCAATTTAATATATATGTAAAATACCCTAAGCTCTCTACGTTACTTGCAGTTACAAGATAAGCAGGGGTCTCATGAAAACGAGCATCTATTTTGCCAACCTCGTCCCCAGGGTCTTCTTCGTGCATGGCGCGTGAAAAATGAGAAGACCCTGGTAAAGGCTGTTCTAAACTGCGTTGTGATTGGTTTATACATTTGACCTTGACATGTGCTTTGAGGATGTTGTTATAATGAATATGATTGGTTTACCGCTAAATACTTCTTGTAATGAGCCCTACGATTGGTTGTATGATTTACAAGGATTTTCACAACAATAATTTGCTTTACAGTAAAATGCATGCTTCGCCAAGGCGCGAAGCTCGTTTCTGGCAAATATTTTCCAACTTTCAGCCTAATGTCAGGCACAATATATAATGGGAATCGTAGTGTGAATATGGACATCATTTTGGTACTTCAAAGTTGAGACAGCTTATGTTCACATCGTTATCGAAGGTATGAATATATACATATACACACACACTGTATGATCAAACAAACCACAGAACCATTTGCGTTTGTGACGTTTAGTTCCTCTCAAATACTACCACTTGTTTAACTAGTACGAAAACCTCTTGTCTGCTTCATGTGACAGGTTAATATCAGTCTCAGATGAATATGCATTTTTATAGCAGAAATAGAGGCACAGAACGATTGCTGTTTGTATAGCTTAATTGTTACATGTTTAAAAATTATAATAATAAAATAAGCAGTTCTTGCTGGGCTCATAGGACACCAGGAAATAATAAAAACGAATCTAAGATCCTATGCAATATTAAAATTTTGGTTATGTCAATAATTTGTGCCACTGCAGCCAACTGCTGCAGCACAGCTACTTGAATTTTCCACAAGAATGGATGCCACTGACCTCCACAAATGGAACATTTAAAATATATTCAACATAACTATAAAATTATTTTCAGTTAAATCTAGCATTAGTGTTACACTGTAAATCATCCATAATTATCACAGGTGTACAGAGAGTACACTTTTCAACCCCCTCCCACAGCGACTTAACCGATGATGGTGGGTTTATAGTTCAACATTTTAAAAAGCGTATATTGGTTATGAACCCGCCTACCTGAAGCATATAGTTTGTACACTTCAGGAAATGTTGGTAGTTATGGACAACCCATAATTGAATTTCATTAGCCTTTACATCATTGTGAATTACCATTTGCATGCATGTAACACTAACAGCATGATCTTTATTCCATACCATATAGGAAAAATTGAACACATCTGTCCTGCAGAGCTAGTACAAATTTACATTAGCAACTATTGAATCAGTGAGGGAGGTATAATAATGCAAGTGTTCAAATAAATGCAGCCAAATCAAAATTGTTTGTCTCCACACTACACTTCCTCATCAATGGACAGCTCAATGAGAACAAATGTTGTGGACAACTGTGGTTTGCACATTGCAGGCTGGCTGCACATTTTGCAATGATGTATATGCAGGAGATTGGTTGTTGAAGCATGAATGAAATCGATTTCCAAAAAGCTCCAAGTCTTACTTTTTGAAATGACTGAGAATAGGTCATTCCAGAAAACATCCATACCACCCCCACAGAGGAAATAGGAAGTTAAACCCTTCGGATGTCCTAATACATTTACTATTATCAGAAACAATTTTTTCTCCCCTCCCCCTCCGGATGGCAGAAATTTCCTCCATGGGGGGAGTATGGATCTTTTCTGAAACGACCCAATTCATTTTCCATATGAGTGAGAGTTCCTATCAGCTGCATGTGAGGATGCATATTACCACCTCTTTTCTTTACCCTTGCACAGTACAGAGAAGGAAAAACAAAGACCAGATTTTGAACCAAGTAACTTTGTTATTTAACTTAAAACTGCACTGTATGTAACTTTAAATACTGTAATAAATGAAATATCAGCTAAATACTAATTCAGTAAGAATTGTCTTGGTATGGAAATATCTTGTTCTGTTGTATATGCATTGTTGAATTGCCATGTCACTTTCTTGAGTATTACCAGAATATTAAGTATAGTTGAGCCAGCTTCCTAATATTATGGAATCTAGGATAGTTGTTGACTTTGCGGTTTTCTTAATAATCTCATATTAGCAACATTCCTAGATGCGAAGACTAACAGCATTCCCATCCCCATTAAGTTGTACATACGGTATACAGTTGCAGTCTTCTTGACAGTCCTTGTTTTATCCATTTTGAAGTTTGAGAAGCATGAATATCTAAAATATAATACAATTGATATGCATTTCATTTCATAAACTGGAAACCTAAATCTATATGTTACACTAAATCTATCCAATTAATTTATTAACAGTAGATTTATTTCCAATTGAGAGAGAAACATACTTACATAAGTTACATTTGAACAAAACTATCTCTAAACTGGTTGGCAATCTTTTAGTTTTACTGATTCACCATTCAGTGCACAATATAAACTCGCAATACAAATGAAATTTCTTCTGTCTGAAAGGGGATGGGGAAATGCACTTTTAGGGGCCGATTACAATGGAGCATTTTCAACCCCGGGGTTGAACTCAGCCCTGTTAACCGGGTTGAAATTTTTTTGCGATTACATGGACGATTTCAACCCCGGGGTTAAAACGTTATTGCTGCCGAAGGCAGCCTCCTATTCTTGACGATGTGTTATAGCGCATTTGAATTTCCCGCCAACAGTTTTATACACTTGAAGCGTATCTCGATTTTTTGGTGTTTGTCGGCAGTTTGA